TAATATAATAACATTAATGTAAAGAACATCATCTCAGCCAAACATCAAGCAAACAAGTGGGAGACATTCCACATGTGAAATCTGACAGTTGTACCTCCAATAAGNNTCAGTCTTCCCTTTTTTACCCCATATTCCATACTGGTGCATCTTCTGATACCAACAGAAGTTAACAAGTGGGCAAAGAGAGGAATGTGTTATACATTATAAAACAGATCAATGTCATAAAACTACCAGTATCATACACATACCTGAGCTGAATTAGTATTGATATTCTGTCCTGATTTAACAAGAGTAAAACTACCAGTATTATCTAGTGATACCATATTAACATACCTGTTATTTGAGCTGAATGAGTATTGATATTCTGTCCTGATTTAACAAGAGTAAAACTACCAGTATTATCTAGTGATACCATATTAACATACCTGTTATTTGAGCTGAATGAGTATTGATATTCTGTCCTGATTTAACAAGAGTAAAACTACCAGTATTATCTAGTGATACCATATTAACATACCTGTTATTTGAGCTGAATGAGTATTGATATTCTGTCCTGATTTAACAAGAGTAAAACTACCAGTATCATCAAGTGATACCATATTACCATACCTGTTATTTGAGCTGAATGAGTATTGATATTCTGTCCTGATTTAACAAGAGTAAAACTACCAGTATTATCTAGTGATACCATATTAACATACCTGTTATTTGAGCTGAATGAGTATTGATATTCTGTCCTGATTTAACAAGAGTAAAACTACCAGTATTATCTAGTGATACCTTATTAACATACCTGTTATTTGAGCTGAATGAGTATTGATATTCTGTCCTGATTTAACAAGAGTAAAACTACCAGTATTATCTAGTGATACCATATTACCATACCTGTTATTTGAGCTGAATGAGTATTGATATTCTGTCCTGATTTAACAAGAGTAAAACTACCAGTATTATCTAGTGATACCATATTAACATACCTGTTATTTGAGCTGAATGAGTATTGATATTCTGTCCTGATTTAACAAGAGTAAAACTACCAGTATTATCTAGTGATACCATATTAACATAACTGTTATTTGAGCTGAATGAGTATTGATATTCTGTCCTGATTTAACAACAGTAAATCTACCAGTATCATCGAGTGATACCATATTAACATACCTGTTATTTGAGCTGAATGAGTATTGATATTCTGTCCTGATTTAACAAGAGTAAAACTACCAGTATTATCTAGTGATACCATATTAACATACCTGTTATTTGAGCTGAATGAGTATTGATATTCTGTCCTGATTTAACAAGAGTAAATCTACCAGTATCATAAAGTGATACCATATTAACATACCTGTTATTTGAGCTGAATGAGTATTGATATTCTGTCCTGATTTAACAAGACTAAATCTACCAGTATCATCAAGTGATACCATATTAACATACCTGTTATTTGAGCTGAATGAGTATTGATATTCTGTCCTGATTTAACAAGAGTAAAACTACCAGTATTATCTAGTGATACCATATTAACATACCTGTTATTTGAGCTGAATGAGTATTGATATTCTGTCCTGATTTAACAAGACTAAATCTACCAGTATTATCTAGTGATACCATACTAACAGATAAACAATTATCATCACCTCCACTAGCTATTACATACTTGTTCTCTATAAAAACAAAAATAACGCTACTGGTAATTATCATCAAGTCTAAACATGCAAATATATTGTGGCACACAGGCAGAAACCTCAAATTTTCAGTGTGAAAACTGCTTTGTGAAAATCAGTTGAAAACATAAGGCAGTGCAACATATTTCAGAGT